ACTTAAAGTATTTTATATATAAGTTTTATTATTTGTAAATAATTATAAAAATTTAATTTTATAGATAAATGCATTTATTGAACGAATAGCTAAGAAAAGTGTGGGCTTTTCGTGTTGGAAATTGTTTACTATTAATTACATAAGATTTTATGAAGTGAGACATTAATATTAATAACTTTTATAAAATTTTCATTTTAAAAATATAATAATTAATTAATTACTTTCCAACAGATTGTTTCGTTTCTTTTCTTTCTTTTCTTAAAAATCATTGAAATTCAAATCAACTCAACATATAATATTAAATAGACATTTGTATTTAGTAACACTTTATTTTATAAATTTTGTTTCACTCATATATTTTATAAGTACAAATAAATAATAAATAAATTAATGTTTAAATTTATTTGTTAACTCAACAAAGTAATTAAACTCTTGAAAAAAATATATTTACCTAATAGTCTACATTATTTTTAACTTTAGATATTTCTTTTAGAGTTTTGTTGTAATAAACGTAAACAATTGAAATGTGAAAAATATTTATCAAATGTTATATTTAAAATAGAATACAATAAAATTTTTATGTACTGTATCCAATTTACCATTATTATATTATACACATTCGCCAATATATTTATTGATTGTGAGTATTTTACTAATAAATAGAGTGTGTTGTAACTCGTAAGCCATATACCGTAGTAATTTAGAATTTAAATAGTAATTTATCATGAACATTAGCAAATATTGTTATTAGTTAATACATTGTATTACAATAAACTATATTCTAGATTAAATATAAACCGAAATGTGGATACCTCTCCGTACAAAGAAACCTATTTCATACAAATGTACTTATAATCAATACTAACTAAATAACACTTGTTTTCTCACCAAATTAAGTTTATTGAATTAATATAACGATGATATTGATCGTTACAATTATTATGACAATTACATCAGTGTAATTGATCATATAATGGTGTGTTTATATCATTTCTATTGATACAAATTACTACAAGTATAATAACTTATTTATTAATTTCCACTAAATGTCACTACAATTAGAGTTTCATTCAATTTGAATGTAAAACTTTTATAAGCTTTGGATCACTTCTAATAATTGCTTTTTAAAATTATAAATTAAAAGTATTTTATATTTTATTTGAAATTTAAACATCTTTTAACAATAATGTCTTCAATAAACACAAATAAATTATTATCAAATGAATTAAAAATCAGTTCAGCAGTCAATCGATTGCATAAAATTGGTTTATGTTTAACAACTGATCCACAGATGATATCTAAGAGACGACTTATAAATAGACCGATTGTTGTGCTAATTATGAATATAATTCAAATGATAAGAAGTATTAGTGCGATGGCTATACCCGACAAATACGAGTATTCATTCACAGTTTTGGCCGATTTTTCCCATTTTCTTAACTGTAGAAAAATTTATAACATCGCTGTCATTCAGATTAACATTTTAGCCCTCAGTTCTCAAGCAAACTATTATTACAACTATAGGAATGGTATAAAACCCACATTTCTTTGTGTATTTGAAATGATGTCGGGTTTGGTTTCACCCAAATCTATTGGTCTCACGAATTCATCGGATGTCATGTCTTTGGTTAAGAAATCACGAATTTTGTTCAAAATTATTGATATTATGACACATTATTTAGTACCATTCTTTATTTTTATAATAATGTTAATTCCATTGGTTTTAAATTTAACCACATTTGAATTACTAGTGTTTGGTTTACCAAATCTATTGATATTTTCATTTTGGGGTTATTCTGTATATAACATCGTATTTAATGAGGGATTATATTTCTATATAATGTGTTTATATCTAAGAATTAAAATCAAAAGACTTAATCAACAAATGCTATCTAACCATAGGTTTCCCTCAAGAAAAATCAAAATCATTAATAATATAATTCAATCATATTATTCACTATTTAATCAGATTAACGAATATAACGATAGCTTTTGGTCAATATTTTTGTTTTTCTTTTGGTTTAATTTCGGTTCAATAATTGTTATCATTTTATTTCTTGTGATATTTAAAGAAATAGCAATATTAGTAAAATTATTGTCCATTTGTTTCATAATTGTTGACTTTATTATATTTGCATTTATCCTCTCAAACGCCGCTTCTGTTAACTCTTCAGCGAATAAATCATATAAAAGCATGAATTCATTGATGTCTTCGTTAGTGTTATTATGCAATCAAAAAGTAATAAATCCAAGAATTGCATTAAAATTTAAGGTATTTCCTATTTTTAAGATTTTTATAACGAATAATTATATTTAATTATAATTTGCAGATAAATAGTTTTATAGAAAGGATGGCTGAGAAAGATGTGGGCTTTTCGTGTTGGAAATTATTTACTATTAATTATTTTCGTTGTTATGAAGTAAGAAATACAATTTAAATATATAAATATGTTATTTAAATCTATTTTAATTATTTATTTACATTTGCATTTAAACAGATTGTTTCGTTGCTTTCTGTGCTTTTCATAAAAATTATTGAAATTCAATTCAATTCAAAGAATAATTAAATCTATTGGCAGTAGACTATTGCACAAAATGTATCATGTAATTTTATTTAAATTTTATCAATTTATTAATAATAATTATTTAATTATTAGGGAATTAAAGAATAATTGTATCATGCCACAATTGTTACGTGTGTATAAATTAATTCAATAAATAATCAATTCAAACTAATGTGTTTACAAAATTAATCAATTTTTAACCACAATTCAAATATGAAGAATGTGGTTTATAGGATCGTGAGGCCCCCTCCCCCTTTGTTAAATTATATCTAATGAATAAATATGTGCTTTAATTAATTGTTTTGAACGGTACTGTATTTTCTGTTTTGTTGAAACATATACCGTAATAAATAATACAAGGTTTTCACAATTATTTTATTTATCAATATTGAAAATATGGATTTATTTAACACTTGATGTAAATTTCCTATTAATTTCATACTAGATTGAATTGTACTTGTGAATATTACATTGTACATTTCAATGTCACAAAATTGGATGCATATTATTTACACTAAATTTAACTATAATTATTATCACATTCGTACGAGGATTATGACGTACACTATCTATACAATAATTGTAATTAATAATAATGCTGTATAAATTCTCATATGGTAAAATATGTTTTTATTAATTTGTATTACGATATTAAATTGTTATAAACTAAAATATTGGGGTGTTCATTAAGTAGTAATAATTTAGAATTACTTTAAGTTTGAATGGATGGCAAATTTTTTTGGTATATGCCATCGTATTGATTTAAACACTATTTTATACACTCATTATTCCGCTTTAATTTTATGTAAAAAAAGTTCCAAAATTATTTCGGGAAGTGGTGATTTCACTCGAAAGTTGTGGTACCGAGAACATTAAAAAATATGATCTATTTTTGTTTTAAGTTAAAAGCACTAATAAATAGGCCCACATTTACAATATATAAATCTTCGACAATGTATTGGATATCAAGCAATAACATAAATTGCTCAAAAGTTTTAAATCAAATGATTATAATTTTAAAAATTACACCCGAACGGCCCGACACCGGGAAGTGGACAATCGCCTGCCAAATATTCGGGTTGAATCCGATCCGCGATTTTCATACATGGAATAGTTGGTCAACTTATGCTAATACTGGAAAATAATTTGTGACCATTTAAACCCGAGTGGGCATTTGTTCAGAGCATGTAATTAAATACATGCCTAAAATATGCCTATTTTTGGCCTATTTTTAGACTACATTTTTTCAGGAAATTGCATTAAAAAGTTTTAAGGCGTTGGCCGACAGGTTCTCTTACAACCACCATATACCCCTGTTATTCCACTATCAGATGACTATTAATATAATTCTCCTCAGTTGTGTTTTAGTGGTAGAACTTGCAATATAAAAGTAGTGGTTAAAACTGACTTCACTAACTTTATTGCCTCACAAAACAGCCAGTTCTATCGGGAAGTAAATGAAACTTTGTCCGATTGATGGCCAATAGTTGCCGATAAAAACGGCTATTACATATTTTATAAAAATATGTTGCTTCATGATTAAAAAATAATTTTAAATTTTCATTGCTCGACTATTATTATTTATTGAACGACCCAATATATGTAATTTATTAGCATCGATGACATTTGTCAAACATGGCAAAACATCATGTATTTTATTTATTAATGTTGAAGAGTACAGACATACAGGAGAGGTTCGCGTGTGGTTTTGACAGTTCCCACATTTTTGTAGGTATTTTTCTGCAATTAATCTCTTTGTTGAACACATCGATTACATCCGGATATTCTGATCTGTGAACTGATTGTGTAAAAAAGTCTTTAATACTTAACATTACATAAATGTTATATCAATACCTAAATTGTCATTAATAAGCAAAGTATTGGCGCCGGTATTCACGGCAACATTAATGAAACGGTAGTTAAAATTTGCCTCTCTTTTGATGGCCTAAATATAATATGTCTGTTAATTACAGGGAATGGTTGCAGAAATGGTAATCACATACTCTTTGAATCTCTTGTCCCTCTGGTGTAGAGCTAATACACATGACATCGGGTCCAACCATTGACATACAGCCCGTAAAGTGAAGTAAATTGTCGGGTACTCTAACGGCCACCACTGGGTATTGAGGGAAAGCCTTTTCCAGAGCTTTAACACCACAATAGTTGGTCCGATCTTTTGAAATGCCGACTAATATTTCCCTTCCTTTCGGTGTAATTATAAATAAGTATCAAATTATTGAAACAAAACTAAAAATCACCCGTAAATCTGACGTCTCCGCCATCGAGAACTGCTTTGGGATCAGTTATCTCAAGACAAGGAACGCCTAACTCTCGCAATACTTTTCTCACTCTAATCACCTGTTTTTACACCAAAATGACATCAAATCACATAAATGAGAGAAATAAGTTTCATAAGTGTCTGTAATTTTAAACATTTAATTTATTGTAAAATCTATAAATTAAATAAATGTTGAATACCTCGTCCTCTCTGGTCGGGTGTCCTATTTTGCAAATCAGTGCCACTCCTTATGCGTCCAAATAATTTAAAGCAAAATAATTAATTTAAAGCAAAATTTAGCACAAATTATATAAACGATTAAAATTTCAATCATACCATCAATGATGACAACCGGGTCCTCGACATAGACCGAGTCGGGGAACTGTTCATCGGCTGGCAATTCAATGACAGTGAGTCCGCACGCCTTTAATGTGTTAACATAAGTGTTGTGCTGCTCTACGGCATCATACAGTTTAATGGGATCCCCAATATTCTGGGCATTCACTATACTATTGGGCACTCGGCTCACCAATGCGTGACTATATTGACCATAAGCTGACATTTTATGCTTATGTTATTTATTTAGTTATTTTAGTTCTGAATGTTATGTCCTTTGATATTATACTCATTCACTGAAAAGTCTGTGCCTTTTATACAGAATTATGTATTATTAACCACTTGTGGGGAACCAATGATATCAAGCATGTTTTTAATGATATCATTGTCACTGACACTAAAAACATGATAAATGCTTAATTTACACATTAATCTGATAAAAAGCACACAAAATTTCACCGCAATATACTAATACTCATTCTTTATAATTATCTTTGAAAATGAATTTAAAATGTGATAATTATGTGTAACTCATGTACTTTAGAATAGGATAATATCTATACTATACTTTATTCTTGTATTATATGATTGCAAGTATTTAAGATTATTAAATAAACAATTGTAGAGTTTTGTTATATTACAATATTATTGATAGTTGCCGATCGTTTCTAATAATTAGTTTTATTTTAGTAATTTCGTCTCAAAATCATAAAACATTAATTAAATTGATGTAAAGTTTATTAATTAAACGACATTAATTACATTTAATTATTAATCAAATTTATCACACTACATGTAACTAGATTTTGACAAAATTTTATAATAAACAATTTGTTATGTATTGATTTTATTTTTAAAATATTTATTCTAATTATCAAGATTAATTCTTTATACTAGAAAGTATAATCTATGGAAAGTAATATAATTTATAACATTATTTACTTTTATATA